GGACAGTAGGACACCCGGGCAAGCAGGGGTGGCTTCTAGTACAGATGCTCTGCTGCCTGCAGGGAAGGAGGGGGAGGCACACAGAGAAGCAGCCTGTGCAAAAGGCCGTGTCCCGCTGCCCTAGGAGCAGCCCTGTGCGTGGCTCCTGGCTGAGGAATAGCCTTGTGGGCACCTGTCAGCACCCGGGAAGCTCTAGGGCCTTCTTCGGGCCAGCCTGCATGTTGTGCCAAGGGACCCGTGTGCTTTGGGGCTGGAACGTGGCCGTGGCCCGCTCAGGGCAGGGGGTGCCTGACCATGTCTGCTCCCGCCCGTCTGCAGGTGAGGCCTTCCACTCCTCAGAGCACCATCAGCACTCGGACCTCACTGCTCCTCCCAACAGTCCCCCTGGCCTCCCCTCCCAGCCGCCAGCGCTGATCCCCTCCAAACAGACGCCTGCCCACGCGGGGCCCTTCGGCTCCCCGCCGCGCGTCCCGCTGGGCCCCTCGCCCCCAGCCGCGCTCTTCCCCGCGCCCAGCGCGCAGGGAGCCGCCCTCAAGCCGGCGTCCGAGTCCCCTCCTGCTGGTGCCGTCTCACACAGTCCGGGCTCGTGTAAGAGCCCTCACCCACCCCCTGCCAACGTGCCGCTGCTGAAGATGCCACCTCCGCTTTCGGGCTGCGCTCATCCCTGCAACGGGCACTGCAGCACTTCGCTCATCCCTCCTCCTGCCTCCCACCAGCTGCCCGGCACAAACAGGTGAGTGGACCGGCCCCGCGTGCTTCCAGCCTCTCCCTGCTGGGCAACGTGCCCTTTCTCTCTGCCCTGTCCCAAAATGTGCCTTTCCCTGCCAAGGGGTCCACTGCTGTGGAGCGGGGGTGCAAAGAGCCTGTGTGTTTGCAGGCCCAATCCACTGTTGTAGTCCCCCGATCTCTGAGGCTTAAGCTCTTTCTCCCCACGTGTCTTCTCCCTGCGGTTGTCCTTTAGTACTGTGGTGCAGAAGAGACTGTGCTTGCTCCTCCTCCAGCTAAGAGACCCAAAGGAACCGCCTGGTCAACCTGCTGTTGGCCAACAGGACCTTTGTCAGTGAGACCCGCCGGGCGGCTGAGGCACTGAGCCAAGGTCCTCGAGAAGATGGAGCCCGTGGACTTGTGGTTCTGCTCACCTGCTCCCCTGGCCCTCTTTGGGCTGCCTGTGCCTTGGAAGAGAGCACGCTGAGCCGAGGGCACGGGTCCCTCCGCGCTGGGTAG